GCACACACACACACACACACACACACACACACACACGCACACACACACACACACGTCGAGATCAACCTGCTGCCATCTGCTCTATGCGCACTGAACAATCCTGGCTGAATACATTATTCACTACAATATATCACATCACATTCCCTCAATGTCACAGCACCATACTGGAAAGGAGTGAGAGAGAAGGCAAGGGAGGGGAGTTGTGGGTTGGGGGTGGGAGGGTTGGTGGTGGTGGGGGGGGCACGTCGAATGCTTGAGAGCAAAGAGCAAAGCAGGTATTGTCCTTGGAGGGGTGAGAGAAAAAGGTACAACACACCAGTCGCACTGCCCCTGTCCGGTCATGTCCTATTTCCGACTTGTTTACTCCCTTCGTTGCAGGGTTAAGCGCTACAGTCCCAGTCCGCACAATACAGAGAGGACCCAACTCCTCTGGAACGTTACAGTATCCACATCATGTTTTATACTGCTATTGTTCTCTGATGTGGGTTTTTTTTTCTTCCTCTGTCTGTCTCCTGTCAAACCTTGTTCGGTCTGATTGCATTTCCAATAAATATCCATCGCAATATAAGTAACCACAGAAGGAGCAGATCAAACTGCCCTGGTGCACAGGAAAAAAACCCCAAAAACATTCTGGCATAAAAAGGCGTGCGGATCATTCGCTCTGCATGATCGAGAAAAAAAAAAAAACCAGTGAAAGATGTGAGACTGTTGTGAGAGAAAAATCAAAATACGGTTTTGCATTGTCTTGCCGTAGTTATGTCATTCAATTAAAAATGAGGACCGGCACAGCAAGCCAAGTGACTGAGTGTGTTCTTTATGAAGACAATTTGGAGCAAACTCAACCAGAATTAGGCTCCAACTTCCATCACGTATGACGACAGAAAAAAAATTACACAAGCAGTCAGCGCACCAAATGATTTCATCCAGCAGCACGGGATTAGCTCGCTGTGTGTTTCCGTGTGTCTTTTTGCCACATTTTTGGTGAAAGTGTGACGATCCCCTGGCAGTTAGAATGAAGTTAGCAGAGAAGACTTTTGTCCAGCGCTAGCAAGTGCTCGAGTGTCGTAATAGTTGGACATCATCAATCGTCGCGTGGATGACGGAGAGGAAGTGTCAGAACTGTTGAGCGATGTTTACAGCTCATTTTATGATTTGTATCTTATTTGCTTCCTGTTTTTTTTCCATTGCCCTTAGCCTGATGGGACTCTCAGTTGGTATTTGTGAACAAAGAGCTTTGATTAGAAGCTTCTCTGACAGGTGTGCGTATTG